GAAAGGTTTGAACCCATGACTCATTTCATAAGTAGTTTGAAAATGATCGCCCGGGTGAACGACTAGACCTGAATAGGACTGTTGTTGTTGACAGTGACTGACGTTTCGACCACCTGTGCGGTGGTCATCTTCAGAGTCAAAGTGAGTTTTATCACGTCACTTGATGATACTAAACTCAGGTTAATTAAGTCGCGATGTTATTGGTCGTCTGTCAGTTTAGCCGTCATGTTCTTGGCTATGAAGACTCGTAATGTCATTGGCACGTTTCGATCCGTCTATTGTCACAAACTGTCGTTTATCGGTAGTGAAATTGTCAGCTGTCCATTCGTTCTCTCGTAATTAGTATTGCTTGATTCCGTCAATAAATCGTTTGTACGGTGCCGGTAACTGTTGAATTCGATTCATTAGCGCCGTTTGTTCTAAGTTCTAAATTTAAAAGTATTTTCTTTTTATTTTCGTGTGAAGCAGTTTTTTTAATAGCTTTGACGCTCAACATGTGCAGCAAAAAGGGATCTTTTGTATCTTGCCAGAATTCAAGCCTCAGTATCGTCAAACAGGTCTAAAATTCACGATAGATTCCGTAACTTTGACTGGAAATTTCACGAAAATGTTTTGTCCCAGTATCCATCCATACTTCCTTGAACCAACGGAAAAAGAGAGCAACAAAAACATGCAACGTCTTTGTATTATTGCTGCAACACGAGTTGAAAAGCGATGTTGTACGTTTCCCACCCGCTTTTTCACCTGTCTTGCAAGTGCCTTTCTGTGATGGTGGAGCTTGACAGCTATCCAGCCCTTCAAGAGCTAAACAAGACTCTCTTACCGCTCGGAAATTAAAAGAAGTTGGAAATGCCCTGCCGAAGACCTGAAGTGCTGCAGAGGAAACATCATCTCTCAGATGCATGAAATCCTTAGTCTCTGCTGGAGAGAGGTGAAGTACCACAGGAAATGAGGGACGCAAACATCGTCACTCTGTACAAGAACCAAGGCGATAGGAGTTACTGCAATACGTACTGTGGGCATCTTCCTCCATAGTGTGGAGGAAGGTGCTAGGGAAGGTGCAATGTTCGCCCGAGTAGCACTGAAGAGGCTTCAGGTTTTGGTGGAGAGAGTCTACCTAGGATCGCAATGTGGTTTCCGAGCCAAGGGATCAACCACTGATATATGTCCTCCCCCCGACCGCTGCAGGAGAAATGGAAGGAATAGCAACCACTCTTAGCCTTCATAGATTACACGAAGGCTTTTGACCTGGTAAGTGGAGACGGTCTATTCAAGATTCTACCCAAGATCGGATGTCCACCCAAACTCCTCAGCAGTGTTAGATCCTTAAACTAAGTGAAGCAGGGCTGCGTCCTTGCACCGACCTTATTCGGGGCTTTCTTCGCCGAAGCCTTTGAAGATACTGCAGAGGGCAACTACCTCCGGACCAAGCCCGACGGAATGCTCTTCAACATCTCCACACTAAAGCAAATTCCAAATGAAATATCTGCGTGATCTCCTCTTTGCCAACTAACGATGCAGCCATCACCGCCCACTCAGCCAAAGACCCTCAGCAGCTCATGAACCATTTCAGCAAGGCCTGCCAAAACTTTACACTGACCACCAGCCTGAAAAATAAAAACACAGGTCATGGCGCCGAACGCGTCAACTTATCTCCCAGCATTACAATCTTGGAGTTTGAACTGGAGGTTGTCCATGACTGCATATATCTTGGCTCGACGATCTCTGACATTCTTTCTCTGAAATCCGAGGAGAACAGCTCCTACCATTCCAAGCCTGACCAAGATAGTATGGTCCAACAAGAAGTTAACGGAAAATACCAAAATCCAGGTCTACAGAGCCAGCAATTTGAGCACACTGCTGTAAAGCAGCGAGTCCTGGAATCTTCACGGACGACGGGAGAGGAAGCTTGACTCTTTCCACATGCGCAGAAAAAATGTTTACACTAGCTAACTTGGGGACGTTGCGCTATGTTGTGAAAATGGAGGACGGCTAGATCCCAAACGATTTCCTTTATGGAGAATTAGCTCAAGGAAATCGCCTCACTGTCAGGCCCCAATTACGCTTTATAGATGTCTGCGAGAGGGACCTGAAAGCCTTGGGCATTGACATCAACAGATAGGAAACCTTTGCTTCAGAACGTTCAGCTTGGAAGCAAGCGATGCAGTAAGGCCTCTTTGTTTTTGAAGAGCACTTTCCGAACAGGGGCAGACAAAGAGACAAACGAGGAAGGCTTGAAACCAGGCAGATAGACCAGCAACTGACCACATTTGCGCACTGTATGGGAGGGACTTTCATTCCCGAATTGGTCTTTCTAGCCACCAAAGGCGCTTTTCGAGTACCTCCAATCTGAGCGCGAAACCGTAGTCTTTGAAGACTGAAGGATGCCAATGTCCTTGCAACAAATCAGGTTGCTGCAGGTTGTGAATAATTGTTGCACAAAGTAGAGAATAGTTCCACATTTTGCAACAAAATTTGTACATGTTGTGCCCTGTTGTGCCTTTACCGGCCCAAAGCAAACTTGTTTTGCAGCGAGTGACGTAACTTCCGTATATGGTGTGCCCACCCCCGTAATTTTTCCCAATCGGAAGTTGGTATTTACCCAACTTGCAGCAATCTTATTGATTGCAAGAGTCGTGGGTAGCAAAACGCGCAACATCGCCATTCAACTTGTTTTGCAGCAATTTTGCAAAATATGCCTCAGGTGTTCTATTGCCCGTTCCAGTACCGTAGCTTAAAATATCTTAGGATATTTGTCCTTGTCAAAAATGTTCAGTCCTGGAAAAATAAGAAAGTAGTAAAATCCCAACTAGGTAAAGAAACAAAAATAAAACAAAAATGTGAGGGATGGAATAAAAGCTAACAAGGTAAAAGTCAAGCTTGTAGTATTGAGTCAATAGTATCAGCTGTACTATCAAAACAATTTCAACATGACATGAACTTAATGCAGGTTTGAAAGACAGGGTCAATCCATTTGAGATCATCGGTCATTCAGTGCTCGCCGTAGGATATGGAGCTGACAAGAAGACTGGGGAGAAGTTCTGGATTGCGAAGAATAGCTGGGGAGAGGACTGGGGCGAGGACGGCTATTTTCGTATCCGACGAGGAACCGACGAATGTTCGATCGAAAGCATTGCAGTCAGTGCAGAGCCAGTTTTAAACCGATGAAAGGGGACTTCAAAGCATCGAATAGGTAGAATAAATTTCTGATTGGACTTGAAATCAGTGTAGGGATTTGAATAAAAAGTGATTTGGCATGTAATATTGTAGAAGCTTCGATTAAATTTAGCATGACACTCAGAAGCATGTGTAATGATGAAACGTTTGAGAGAACACCTTTTAGCTAGAGATAATTCTGCTAAACAAATAGATTCCATGTTGCTCTGGGTCTATTCAGTGATACATTGCAAAAGACATCAAAATGTGGTAAAAACATCATCAGGGGAGCTTTGTTCTGGAACTCCATTCCAGACAATTTAAAAAGAGCACCAAGTCTAAACATTTTTAAAAAGCTTCTTAAGAAAAACAGACAATTGTTCGACAATATAAATTTCAACAAGATGGAATAGTATTTTAATTGTTCTTAACTTTTAGTCTTTTATCTTACTACTGTATATTTATATATTTATTCTTTTTACATACCTATTTTCTGTACATTTTTTAAAATTTAACTTGTATATCATCAATAGATAGTTTATCAGTAGGTCCACATCAGCTTTAGCTGCCTTTTAACTTAACCTGCTTTACCAAACTAAAACTATCATAATGAATGAATGAATGAATGACACACTCACCTGCAGCACGTGCCACCTCTTTGTTTTTTTTTCGCATTTTGAAGTCATCTGTGATCTATGACTGACTGAGCAGACCCAGGGCAACATGGAATCTACTTGTTGAATAGATCTGTATAGTTAGATGAGTTATTTGATTTATATTTTGTACCTAGTTTTTGGTTTTTATGTTATACGTTTACCCACATGCACAGTTTTTGTCACTGAAAGGACAGTTTTCAACTTAAAGGTTGAGTTTTTGTTTGCCAAATATTACGTTGAAGTGTTTCAAAATCATTTGAGATAAATAACACGAAGTACGTAATAAAATAGGGCTGGGTATCCTCGAGGAGCGTAGATTGTAAGCGAAAGTACGTGTCAATGTTTTTTATGTTTCAGCAGTCCGTCAAGAGAAACCTCACTGTTTTTAACATGTTTATATGTCACTCTTTTTCCTTAACCAAGACCTGCTCTGTTCAGAAGAATTTAAATCTATCGCTACCTCTGGCCCCGAAGGAATGTTCCTCATAAGGTATACACAGTATAGCAACACCTACATTCCCTCCTAGAGAGTTCTGCTGGACTTTGTTAAAGGTTGCCCATTTATACATTAAGAGTTCAACTGCAGGATACTATAGATCCAAGGAAGTCGCTTTACAGTGATTTTTTTGAATTGTGAAACAATATCTAAGAATCACAATTACAACTATCGTGCCAAATAGTTACAAGGAAGCAAAAGAAAAGTGAATGAAATTGGACTGTAATATCGCGGAGTGGTGTACTATTTCACCGGTTAAGTAAAATCACTCTAACGCAAAGTATCTACGAGAAAACTCTTCTTGGGATCTATTATCGAAACTTGGATTACTCTGCCTCGTACCCAAACGTCGTTCGCGTTTCGCGCCGGTTGTCACAGTGATATGGGGATACCCGCGGTTTCGGCATTCCAATTCCCAAAAATCATATGATCACTAGGGTTTTGGGAATTGGGATGCCCATACCGCGGGGATGCCCATGTCACTGTCACACCGCCACTGTGTGAAAAACGAAGCGGCTAAGGACGAGCCTGTAGCTTACTGCTATTAACGACAGGTAAGGGTGGAGATTGTGGCAATCAGTCAGCAAGCGGAAAATTTAGTTTTCCTTTCGTACTTTAATAATTTTGTATTCCACGTGGCACATTTTACAGGCTTTCTCGTTTCAGAAAGCAGTATCATTTTAAGACCACCT